AGAAGCCACCACAACCTTGCCCCTTGTCAGCTCTACTATACATCTGGAAATTCTTACAGCATGTCCATGTATGCATGTAGAAACATTGTCTGCTAACCCTATACATGGTCATGGGCACACTTCCCTCTGCCTAGACATATCTGATCATTCAGCCTGTCCACCTGTCTATCCACCCATAGATCAAAACTTGCCATCACTGGCAACACAGTACTGTACATGCAAACTTTTAATACTAGTTTTCAACTAGAAATACCATATGTTGTTTAAAAATGTAAATCCATATCACAGAGGAACACTTTAACAAGGGTAGGCAAGGATCACATACCTAGCTGAAGAATGTCCACACTAAAATTAAGAGAAACTAAACCTTTTTATTGTAAGCATGGGAGCATTTTACTTCATTCAACTCAAAAGGAAGGAAAAATTTAAAAGATTTGAATGGTGAGCAATGTTTATGTATATATTACTGCAATAGATATTTCCAATTTTATCATTTATTTGGACAAGGTTAAAAAAAATGGGCATTTTTGGCCAGTTTTCATGAAGAATACTCATTTTTATATAATTAATTTTATTAAATTCCTCCTTTCTGAAAAAAAAATAGTATTAAGGCACTGCAGACATTCCTGCTGATTGAAAGAAATACATATTCCATAGTATTTCAGAAGTCATGGCCATTGTACCAAAAAATACACAATTCACAAGATCCATTCCTAGAGTTAAAAAAAAGAAGAGAATTCCAATAATAATCAGGCCTACACATTTGAACTTTTTTAGGAGATAATATGATATAAAAGATGTTCTGGAGTCATAATTCTTGGGCTTAACTCTTGGCTTTTCCCTTACAAGCTGTATGATATTGGGTAGGTTATTCTTTGTGCCTCTTTTTCTCTATAAAATGGGTCTAATAATGGCACAAAGAAAGCAAATTCAATATTGTTTGTTATTTTTCATAATATTGTTATTTGTCAAGACTTTGTAAAATCAGTGTTGTGAAACAAAATGAACTATCCAATGTAAAACATACCTACTTTGTAAAATTGCACCCAAATCAAAATAAAAGTTTTTTTTTTTTTTTTTTAAGATTTTACGTAAAGATTAAAGCATTTCACTGTTCAAATGCACCAAGCACTCTGCAGGAAAAAGGTAAGGCATCTGTGTCCATAAAGATTTATAGCCTTAGAAACTCTATGGGACAGTTCTATTCTGTCCGAAAGGGTAGCTATGAGTCGGAATCAACTCCATGGCAATGAGTTTGGTTTTTTGGTTTTGGGGTATATTAAGAAGGATTTCTTGTTACTTTGATTTTTGGATTTTTGGTAATCTTTACAGACCAGATTGCTAGGTTTTTCTCCCATGGAGTTGCTGGGTGGGTTTGAACCACCAGTCTTTCAGTTAGCAGCCAAGTGTTTAACTGTTGTACCACCAGAGCTCCTAATAAGTAGCATAGGAATCTGCAACTTGACAGAGATTTTCCACCTCTAATTTGCATGAGGGTGGAAATTTCATGGACATTGGCAACATCTTGATATTAATAATAGTTCCTGGCAGTTCTAAGATCAAATTATCTATGTACAGAATGTCTCTTGTTACTTCAAAGGAAAAAAAGTCAACAAATTTTGAATAAAACATCCACTGGATTGTTGTTTTAAAACACACACAGCTCCCTTTGCCAGGAACTATCTTACTTCCTGACAATATTTAATTATACCAATTTCATTCCCTAAACCTAAAACGTATTCTATCTCATGGTTTTATAATATTTCAAAATTTTGTAGTTT